GACTAATCAAACTACATGATTTTGCTTAAAAAAAAATAAATCTTTGATGCTGTTCTATGGAGCAGATCACTAAAAGCATCACAGCACAAACCATAGGAGCATGGTTCATCTACTGCATTCACTTCCTCTTATTTTGAAGTTTTCATTCAGTTAACTTAATTAGGCTTACTGTTTCATAATAAGTGATGAAAACTAAAGTTCACTCTCTTTTACTTTCTTTTTTTTTTCATCGGTGGGTCATTCTTGCCAAGTATCTTGGGGATGTTAACATTTTAATTTGTTTAGAACTAGTACTTAAAAAAATTACTTGTTTTAAACCTATGTGCAGTGGCAAATGTATAAGGCAGGCAGAATTTCTGCTCGCTCAGTGCTGCTGTAGGCACAAATGCTCTAAGAGTTGATGGCAAGTGCCAAAATGGCTCTTGGTTATTTTTCTGGTCAACTGAGCCCAAGCTTGTAAGGAACTTTTTTATATTCTGGTTAACTTAGACCAGGGTCTACCCTGCTGTGAGTTTTATTTTCTGGTAAAACCTTTCAACAGATGTGCTTACTTGCAACGTGCCATCACATATGACCTGATCTAGATCAGCCTAATCAGGAGTAATATGCTACCTGCCACAATATTTGAAATATTCTCAGTGCCAAGAGGGCAAAGCAAAAAAAAGTAGCCATAACCTCTCTAAGATGGTGTTTTACATTAACACATATGTGTTAGACTAACACCTCAGTATTTCCTGACTGCCCCAGGCCTGATCTTCTACCTCCTGACTGATGGGCACACTGAGGAGGACACGGCTCCTAGGCAGGCTTGTCTCCCAGCTGCGTGTCACTGCCAGCTGTTGGGAGATGACCACGTTTGAACCCCTCACGTGGACATTCTCCTCTACCAAAAGAAGCCCAATGGAACTTAAACAGCATGGGAAGTTATACCTCTGCTCACCTGGCTCATTTCAACTGATGTGGGTGACAGAACACCCAGCCAAGCAGCTAATTCTGGAGCTGGGAGAAAGCAGTGACAAGCATTTGGGGGGAAAGCTGGAAACATTAACCTCTAGATCTGGCACAGCTGCAGCCAGACAAAGAAGTGATCAAGCCCGTAGATAAGGATAAAACAGCAGATGAACACTGACATAATACTAAAATTTCATTTAAAAAAAATTTAAAAAGCCTACTAACGCAAGGAAATTCAGCTATGAGCCTGAAATCCCATCCCAGCTCACAGCACATCGCACAGATGTTTTGCAAAAATAAACTCGCAACACGCAAGTGCATCTGGTGAGTGCAGGACAAAGATTCTTCACACTTCCTCTCTTGACTACAGAAATGGGATTGTTCATTCAGAATGTTGGTTTGAAAAAAGAAACAGACACCAAACATTCTCTCTTTTACCCCTCCCTGAAAATGGGGGAAAATAGATAGCACTGCCCTAAATCGGACACGGGGCAAATGCAGATGCTGTGCAGGCTCCCAAAGCATCCGTCTGTCTGAGGAATTACCTCCAAGTACACAGCTTAAGTGCACTTGTGACCTAATTAAGCTCGGAAAATATAACTGACGAGAGGGCTCTCAGCCTTTCCTTCTACTTTCCATTTACACAGCTACAATAAAAAATTATATCTCTTTAAAAGTGTCTATGTGTTTGTGTGTCCATTTACTTTTGTTGTGCGTGTGTTTGTGTGCAAACTGCACTTCTCAATGGCCTGATACAAGTGACATCAACTGTGAGTGAACCTTTGTGTTAGCTTTTACTGAGGCCATGAACAATGCAAAAAACCCCCCAAAATTGGGAAGGATTTAGTCCTTTCATTCAAGATTGTTTAGGAGACTCCTTAAGCAAAACAGTATATTTTAAGTTATTCTTTGGCCAAATGTGTCCATAGTAGATGAGTGAAAGTCTACATCAGTTTTTAGTTTGGTTTTTTTCAAATGATGAGACAGATTTACTCTGTCAATTTTCCACTAGTGTAAGAAGCAAGTGAGGGATTTAACTACATTTAATGATGAATTTACAGTCTTTTATTATTATATTACTGTTATGTCCGATGAAAGTCAATGGCAAAAGTCTGGGTGGTTTCAGAAAAGCTGTATCTGTTCACTCTCTGGTTTGCTGGGGACACAGGACCTTGCCATGGACTCTTTCCTTCATTCCTAACGTTCCTAAAAGGTGGTGTTTGCCACGAAGTCACTGCATGCAGAAAGCCGATGGTTTTCAGCCCCAGCATGTGGAGACACTTATCACAAATGCACGCATTTGACTGAGGACAGACTTCATACCAGACCAACAGCACAAAACTGTAAATGATAGGACTATTATGGGACGTGTGGGCACAAACTGGCTGAGAAAGCGTAATAAAAATATGACCCAAGTTCATAATTTGCTATTAGATTGGTGGATCTAAATAAGTAGTTATTTTTGCTATTTTGATAAGACTAAGCAAAGGCAAATATATTTTTTTTTCTAGAAGAATTAAAAATAATTTTTACTTATCGTTTTTTGCTAGAAATAAAACATATGGAGCTTTAAAAATACAAACTAAATTATGTTTACTTTTAATTAATTCATTTTAGAAGACTGACTGTTTTCAAAAGCAATAGTCACTTTACTTTTGTTACATTTAACTTGGCAGATTCAGTTGGCACAATTAAAATTAAATTTTATCAAAACATATTAACTTATTGAATGAAGTGCTTTTTAATCAGCTATTAATAAGGCTTTTAAACAGACTGTTAACAATAAAAGCACACCAATTCACCCCATGCTTGGAAAAACTTCACAGAGAAATACACTTTTGCAAGAAGAGATGCAACAGAAGAGCAGTGATGGAGATAATAGTTTAAACATGATGTTCATCACTGGAAATGCGAAAGATTGTGAGGAGATTTTGCAAAACCCGAAATCATCAAAGACTGCAGGGCAGAATTAGTTTTTTTCTTCACTGAAATATTAAACAGAGCACGTGTCAGTAAATCTGTAGCAGAGTCAGCACAGAGGGAAACTGCAGCAGACTGAAGGTGCAGATTAAAAGCTTGTGCTATTCACTACTTGGAATCACTAAAAATGAAACGTAATGCAAGGTTTTGTTTAAAATACACTGATAAAAATATCTCCATCCACCTTATTCCATGCATGTTAGACAAGTGTGAGAGGCAGGTTCACTGAAGAGAAGAGAAGAACGGGAAGAGACACCCTTCATGCAGAAAGCATCAACTTTGAGGCTACAAACCTGTTCTTGTCAGGCTGGTTCCATCCAGCCTAAACCCAGCTTTATCTGCTGCTGCAACCAGTGCTTGTGCAAAACTGCCGCTGGTAAAGATCGAGTCATCTGAGGAGCTACCTACACTAGATCTATGACTAGAAAAGTTACGGTCCTCATCAGACGCAGAACCCCATCCATTTACCATTGAACCTAAAAACAAATGTAGGGGTCTAGTGAGTTGTGCACATTGGATATTGTTTTTTTTTTATCATCTAAAGCTTAAAGACCCACTTAATATGCCCTTTCTCAACAGGAAACCCCAAAATTCATTTGACAGAGCTTGGTACAAAAGAGCAGTATTCATCTAAAGCTTAAAGACCCACTTAGTAAGTCCTTTCACAACAGGAAACCCAAAGTTTATCTGGCAGACCTTGGTATAAAGGAGCACTATCAAAGCTAAGAGGGATCTCATTCATAACTTGCTCCATGTTGTTTGGATCCTGTAAACAAAATGATACACATTCTCTACAAATGTGAAGGTTCCATAATAAATGATTTTGAAAGTTAATAGATTTTCCCTGGGATTGAAATGAATTTTACTTGACTTATTATAAATCAGTAGCTAGTTCAATATTTGCAAAACAAAGTCTTAATTTAGGACAGCACAAGTGTTAAGCCTCGGCAGATACATCTGAAGTCAGACATGGGCTTCAAGAGCTGTCCTGAACAAGACTGTTGTTATGTCATTTTCTCAATCAAAACCTTAAAATAGATGAGCAATCTTAATGGCCTGAAGAAAGCTGACCTAAAGTAGCTCATTCTAGTGGATTAAAGTTACTTTTTTAAAAGGTTAGAAATAATTAACATTCAAAAGCAGACCAAATATGTACTCAAATTTAATACTGAGTCAGCCTCTAAGCCAATGCTGGCCTCATGGTACCTTCTAGCTATGGATTACCACCACTGCAGGAGAGGAAATTGATAATAACGTCATAAAAATGCAGTCAGAAAACCAGACACCAGAAAAAGCACAGGGAAGAAATATAGAAATCTTGACATAGCTAAAACGTAAAGAGCAAAACAGTGAGGGAAGGATTCAGTTTATTTGCTCTTCATTTATATTTTATTTTTTCCAATGCATGAAGTGTTGATCAGCTACCCAACGTGGCAGGACAATATATTTTCAAAAGCTATCCCTCACCTTGGATTTTTTTTTTTTCAAGGTACTGAAATTCTGTTTCTTTGGTGGCTTCAGATGGAGTTAATGGTGTTCTGTACTTCTAAAAGTCACGGGCAAATGTCCCAGGGTAATTCTACACTGCCCCTTGCAGCAGGAGGCAAAGGAAGCCTAGCCAGCACCAAGCACCTAGCTTTGCTCCAGGAACAGGGCACCCATGCTAATAGTTACCAAGGCCAGCTGAGATGTGGAGCTACCAGACTGCTCCTGTGACCTGAGCTGCTCCACGGTGCTGTGTAGACACAGCACGTTGTTCTGAGATAGCACAGGCACCTTCTTGAAATACCTGAAATCTGCTTTTTAAACACAGTGACATGTGTATGGTGGGAAAAAACCCCAGTGAACCCATGAGAATCTGCAGAGAACTGGTTTTCAAAGATATGAAGACACATGTGGAGAGAGACACATGGCCCTGACTCTACTATTCAGTTAGCAGAGATGAATTTATGTAAATATATGTAAGATGTGTAAGTCACGTTCTTCAAATCCCTTTTTTTAATCCATGTCGAAGAAAGTATTATTGTGTTCAATACTGTGAATTAACAAATCAATAATGACCTGCTTATTCCTACCAACTCGAAAGGCTAATTAACGAACAGCGGTGCCAAATATTAAAAATATCCTGCAAAATAAAGTCCTGAGTCCAACAAGTGAATACTGGAATTTAGTCAGTGGCACTCTGTACCACAAAGCCCAAGGACAATGGGTTATTTTCTGATGTTGCAGTGACCAAACCTCTCAATGCCAGCACCGTGGCAGGCTGTAATCACCACAGTCCACACTAGAAAAGAAACTGAGGAGGTCTGGGGAGGTCTGACAGGCAGCAAGTGTGTTAAGTGCAACAGAGAGTGACAGAGTGTGATTCTGCTCGCCAAGAGCACACATAAAATTGTTATTTTCCAAACAGACTTGACCTGATGCAGACAGATGTAAAGAAGCCTAGATAACAGCAAGGGAAGGCTAAAACTGAATCTCCTCTGAAAAGACAGTTTCTGAACTAACAATCAAAGTGAGATGGGACATCATAGAGAATGGAGAGTAAAAAGGCTCAGCAACAGTTACTGACGATGTATGAAAGGAGATACTGGTAATGAAACACTTCATGAAGATGTAAGAAAATTAAATGATATAGCTGAGCACAGTTTCAAACAATCGCTTATCGACATATTCTGCAAAACATGTAAGAACAAGTTGAAACGTAAAAATAGGACGAGACCTGCAGATATCAAAGGACAATACTCTGGTGCTGAAAATTTACTGTGTATTGTGTCAGTTTTAGAGCCTGTTTTGTATGAAACATTCTATTTTCTACAAAGACACATATGAAAACATAAACTGAGCAGAATATGAATGGTTTTCAGTATCATGGACACAAGACTACGGATGTGTTAAAGGAACTTAAGCCTGAATTTCCATCTGCTCACATCGTTCTGTCCGTTTGCTAAGCAGCCGCTCAGAATGCACATCGCTTGGATGCGATGCGTCCAGGGTGTGCCTGGGAACAGTTGCAAGGTTTTCATCTCCTCTTTGGAGGGCTGGACTGACATTGAGCCAGTCCTAAATAAATAAATAAATAAATGAATTTTTTTTAAAATTCCACATTTTAACTAGGAAATATACTAAAAATCTGCAACAGTCCACAATGGTCTCTCCAACGTGTGTGCATTTACCTCCCATTCACCGCACGCACACCAGGGCAGGTTTTCTTAACAATGGCTGAATTTTAGTTATCCCAAGAGTGCTCTTGTCAGACCACCAACTTTTCAGGGCAACTCTACAGGAAAGCCCTGTTCCCCAGCTCCTCTGCATTCCCATGGACAGCACCCACGAGCAAGGTCAGGAACAGTGCCTCTGCCCATGGATTGCTTCCCCTCGCCCTTTCCTCCAGCAGCTGGAAGCACAGCTCAGTTCTTGCAGAGGTGTGAGCTTTACTCCAGGTGAGGACATCAAAGCAATGACCTCACCTGGAGTACCGAATCCAGGTCTGGGGTCCCCAGCACAGGAGCAGGTCCCCAGCAGGAGCAGGTCCAGAGGAGGCCACAAAAATGCTCACAGGACTAGAACATCTGTCTTGTGAGGAAAGTCTGAGAGAATTGGGGTTGTTCAGCCTGAAGAGACCTTATTGCAGCCATTCAATGTATAAAGGGAGCTTGTAAGAGAGATGGAGAAAGACATTTACAAGGCCCATAGGCCACGGACAGGACAAGGGGCAACAGCTTTAAGCTGAAAGAGAGTAAATTTAGAATGAATGTAAGGAAAAAGAATCAAAATTATGATGAGGGTGGTGAGACATTGGAACAGGTTGCCCAGAGAAGTTGTGGATGCCCCATCCCTGAAATTGTTCAATTGTTCAGCAACCTGATCTAGTGGAAAATGTTCCCACCCGTGGCAGTGGGGGTTGGACTAGATGAGCTTTAAAAGTCCCTTCTGACCCAAACCATTCCATGTTTCTATGACATCCTGGTTGCTGGAAGCAGAGGCAAAACTCTTCCTAACTGCCACAGTCAGCAAGCTACCCTTGGCCATGCGCAGCACCCACAGCTCTACGTGACCAAGTAGCTAATGGTCAGATCTCCACATTATTTCTGTGGGTTCCTATTCAGCTTCCCTGCATAAAGCACTTTTTCCTCACCCACACTTGCAGCAGCGAGGTCCCAGCAGCTTTGCCCTCCAGAGGTGTGGACACTGCCGGGAAGGTGTGGGACTGCTGGAGCCCAGCCCAGGCACCTCAGGCCACCAGGCAGCCGGGCCAACGTGGCACATGTGGTGACAGCTTCTTTAAAGGCACCCACTGGCCTCTCATTTTCCAAATCAGATGCACATTTGTTTCTCTCTGAATAAAGGCAGAAGAAGAGATGCTGACGTCCCTTTCAGATCAGCTGTGCATTTTGAACTGGAATGGAACAGGCTTTCAGTGTCTCCTTCACATGCAGCTCACCATGTGTTTTCCAAGAGCACATTTGAGTTTTTATGCTTTCTGGCAACTGTAAATTTTGCTCTTGCTGACAGCAGCAGTAAATGCTTTATGCAGAACAAAATCCACTCTGTGAAAAGCTGAACTCTGTTTTCTTGCTCCATAAAACATCTCTCGGTGCTAATGCAAACAGAAAGCTGCCTTGCTCTCAGGGAGAGATGAGGGGAACAGAGGTGCTAGCTTCTTCTAGACTGCAGGCTACTGCTTTTAGTGGCATTTTGCAGGCAATAAAAACGCTATTTTTCTTTGTAAAGTGTGCTCTTGCTTTACTTTAGGAAAAAAATAAAATCAAACCCTAATGCACTTGTGAAGTAAAAGCTGCTCACAACAAACCTAACGCTTTTGAAAAGTCCATCAGGTAACTTCTCTGTGTACTGCAAACTCCATGGGCGTGCTTAAAATTAACGAATGAAGCCACTGGGACTTGTGTGTGCACGCTCACGTGCTCTCCTCCACGGGACCACTAAGCACACCCCAATACCACGCCCCTGCTCCTCTGCAGGTTGTTGGTGGAAGGGGGTTGGACTGCTCAGGATTGTGAAATACTGAAGAAGTCCTTGGGGACTGACACTACCTCAGCTGATATCGGTTAGAGAATTCCTTCAGCCTTTTTAAAAACATTATCCTCCTTTGGATATATCTGCCTACTGTCATGATTACAAAGAAAGAATGTCCACTGCTTTTGGTGGAAGTGATGGAATAAAGGGGCCAATAGTCAACGTACCATTAAAATAAGATTAATAGAAGGGGGTGAATGCAGAATATAAACAAGATCACGCTTCAAAAATTAGACCTGGTCTTATACTTTACATTAGATTTCACTGTAAATGTCCAAATATTTAAACATATTCACCTGAAATAAATGCTTAAGTTTTAAAATTTTTATTTTGGGGCAGGAAACGCTAAACAAAAGGAGGTAAAAATCATACATACATATTTGGCACTTCACAGGTCTTACCATAATTAATGGACTTCATTAACATTTAATGAAAAATGAATTTATGTCACTTAGCAAAATTTATTTGTGTTTGCATTTTCAATCTTTTTAGATTTTTTGGTTTCCATATTGCTGAAAGGCACAAAATTTTCTCAAATTTATTCAAGCTGTTAGAAGAGGAATGCACACAGAACATTAAGTAGTTGCTCAAATGTTGCTGAGCAGTAAAATACTATGATAAAGTGGCATCTTGCTGTGTCTCTATTACTTCTTCAGCACTAAAATTAATTTATGATCAGTCATCAATTCATTTACATGTCATTTTATGCTAAATCCATCCTTGCTGATGAATGCATATCCCTAGATCCATTAAGCTAGAGTAAAGTCTGTGCTTTATAATATGACCCTGCTAATTGTTGCATTACCATTTTTATGAGATACAAAAAGTAGCAGTTTCCTATTTTCTGAGTACATATTTAATCCATGAAACACATTCCTCCTATTAGATGCAATCTATCTAACTGCTTATCAAATAGAATCTTTTGCAATAGGTATCAATATAAAACAAATCAATATAAATATTGAACTCTGCCATGGTAAAATATGTCTCATGAAAACGATTTTGTGTAATTTTCCAGAATTATTCCATTTGTGCTCAGACACGATGAATGAGCAACTTTTACTACACAGGGAGTGATCAGAGATTCTTTTAATCATGACCAAGACATGCCAAATAAAGGATTTTCTTCCTTGCTGAGCTATACAACCTATGGAGATCTTTATAATTTCAGAACTATATAATTCTATTAAAAATATATATATATCCATTTGCAGTGGTGCTGTTGACAAGAATACCTCTCTGCTTATACCAGTTGGTATCAGTTGGGTAGAAAAGGGCTTGTTCTCATTTCCATGCTAGTTAATGATGTATCTCTCTCCTCGGTCAAAATGCACCAGGACTGAAGATATAACAGGGGAAGAAGATAATGAGAGGGCAGAGAAAGCCCCCAAACCATAATACTTTGATCTGGCAAAACCTAGTGTTGTTCTTAGTGATCTCAGTGAGGAACAAATTAATTTCTTATACAGTCATCGTATGCAATTAATTAAGTCCATTAAAGTAGAATAATATAACAGACTCTTCATGACCATTCATGCTCTAACTCTGCACAGCAATTCATTATAAAGGCAAATATTAAACATAAGCAAAAGAAAAAAACATCTCCCTGAGAGCAAAAATAACCCTAAATAATTGTGAATTAAAAGTCAAGTGAGCAGAAGTTTAACAGCTGCTCTTCAGTTCTTTTTTTTATTTATTTTTTAAAATCAGAATCAGTAACTCGGTATCCTGACAAACCATCCTGGGAATGAAGCAAACCTTTGACTTTAATTTCATATTCCATCCCACAAGTGTTCAAATCTAAACCTCCCTCCTTGTGTTTTTCTTTGCAATATCTGGAAATGGTTAAGATACAGTTACTGTGCACTCCTCCTTTCTTTTTATTACGCACGTCAACATTATGTCTCTGCCACCTGCAAAGAGAAAAGCTTAACAGTGCAGATTAAATCCTTGTCTGAATCTTCAGTTAGCTGTAACTACAACTGAAGACAATCTGACTCTTCAGCAGTTTAAAGGAGCAACGCTGGGGTTTCGGAGGAAATTGCCCAGGCACATGAACAAGACAGGGTGAGGAAACTGCTCACCATACAGCAACTCTGTTTGGACCCAGGGATGTCAGTTTAAATTTCTCACCAACACTGAACTCACAGGACACACTTCAAAACACACAGAACTATTGCTTCATCCAGCTCAGCTGTTCTCATTTGCCTCCAGTTTTTATTATAATGTTTAAAGAAGTGAAAACACGGTATATAAATTCCTAGGAAAACGCTGGTTTAAGTCAGTAAAAGCCCTATGAAAAGAAGTGACTTATATATTCTCAGTGCAAGAAAGAACAATTTTGTTGTTTTATAGGATTCTACAAACAATCAAATTAAAGAATGAGAAACAGCTTAGAAACCATGAATGCAATTTATATACCCTCCAATTTGTTATATACCCTCCAATTTGTTATATATCCCCCTTAACACTACTAAACACAGCCTGGAAGAGTTCACAGAAACAGATACACAAAAATTCTCTTTTGAAACAATTCCTTCAAGCATAATAAGCAATTTCCTTCCATCTCTAAGAGAAAAAAAAAACAACAAACAAGCCCAAAACAAGCCCTCAGAAAATCAAGGTTTTTGCCCATATAGTAAGCAAGGAAAACGGGAGTTTTGTTATTTGAAGAGTTTGCCATTTTACAGACTGTTTAGACAAACACTCTTGATCCATTTTTGCAAAGCTGTATTTTCCTCATTGTTCTAAGTCAATCTACATGTCAGCTACAGGCTATAGGGGCAGTCTGTCATTTCCAGCCATGCACTCCCTTCCTGCAGTGCCACAAACACCTTGCCCTGCGGTGAACCAGATCAAGGAGCTGATCCAGCTCCTAATTAAACCAGAAAAAGAACAGGCAAAAGAAAAACCTTAATTTGCAGCTGAACGAGACCACATCAAGATAGCGTGGAAGTGAGTGGGAGTGCATTTACATCACCTGAAGTACACTCCCAGTCTACGTTACCACGTTCTGCCCAATTTCTGCCAAAAAAAATGCACCAGGAAGTTTTTAACACTCCAACAGCTAAAGATTTAACACTCTAATAATGAAACAAGATTTATAATGATTATAACAAGCTTGAATGTTATTCATAAAAGGATAAATTGTAATAAGCACAGAAGTCTATGAACTGGATCAGCAATGTGGCTATTCCTTTACTTTGCACTAGGCAGGGTGGTCTAAAATATCAGGTGAAAATGCAAACGTGAAAAACATTCATCTTCTGATTTACAGATATATCAACACTGACATATTCATACATACCAAGTGGAAAATATACAGCAATCTGGAGGGGTTTTTTATTTATTTCTGTATTACCAGTGCAAAACCCTTCCAGGACTCCTAACGGAAAGGCTTCTGAGCCATTAGCGAGACACGCAAAAATAGGCAGAATTATAGCCTGGAGGAGATTACACTTGAAATTCAAGAGAAGTGACTTAACATACTCATGTACTAATAAATTAACCTTCTCAATCCAGGGATTTAATCTTTAACTCTATGGCCTTCAGATGAATCTGGATTTCAAGTCATAGTGGCAGGGATACAATTCTTAAATCTTAATTAGATTGGTAAACAGTCTGGCCCTAGGGTGAAGGAAAACCTGGAAAGGGGATTAAGCTAGACACCATTTAACTCAACAAGTATTATAGGTATTGATGCTCCACCACTGCCGTGTTCCTGCAGTGTTTTCAGAACAGCAATGTTTAAGTAAGGGAGAAAAAGCCTTGGAATCTCACAGATCCAGAACAAAGTGGTGGAATTCAGTGGTGCTATGGCAGTAAATTGTACTGAGTGAGCATCCCTTAAAACACAACTAACAATCAGTGCTCTGCCAAGATCAAAGACTGAAGGAGCACCCACCAGCTTTAATGAGCTACGAACACTGCGTACATTTGGGTCTCCAGTACAGCTGTGCATTATGGATACAGTATATTACATAGAGGCCCAAGTTCAACCTAAAGGGAAATGTACTGATGCTTACAAAAAAGTGCACGATGTCCACACAAAATCTGTATTTTTCAAAAAATATCTTCCATTGCCTACATTCCCTCAACAGCAATTCTATTCATGCAGGTTCTGTGCATTAGTTTAACATGCTTTCCTAGTTCCCCTTTGATGATCCCCGTGGTGACTTTCCAAGGTTTGCAAAGGGCGAGAAGCAGTGGAGGAAGGAGTGTCAGAATAATTAAGCATCTTAACCGAAAGGGAACAATTGCTAAAGTCAGCAATACAAAGTAGGTTCAAAATACACATTTTCCCACATAAATGTTGCATTTACTCTACAAATAAATGCTGTGCTGATCTAACTGCACATACTCTGAAGCCTTTTAACTTCCTTGTGTTCATCTGTGAAAGCATTTACCCAGCAAAATATCTAAAAGTGCTTTAAGATAACATTTTCATACTGCTTCTGAGTTATAGAATATATATTCCTGAGCCGAGGTCTTCCCCCTCCCTTTTCTGTAACTGGCTTGCTTCTCCAGCAGAGTGAACTTTTCATGAAAGCCAGGACATAATTGAGTTTTCTTTCAAGTCTTTAAAGCTTTTTAAAATTCATGAATTTTCTTATCATTTTGCAGCAAAGCAAAGTATTTTCAAATCCTTCTTTAACTTTAGTGTTTAATATTAACACATTTTAAATGTTACAGAAATAGAGTGGAATAAATTTTCGCTTAGAAAGTGTTTGACTGATGATGTATTTTACTGTTAGGAACAAGCTGGTGTCACTGTTAACAGTGTGTGGTTACCTGTCACAGAGCTGTCTAGATTGTCCATACTGGAGCCTGGAGTATGCTCTAGACCTCTTAGCGGCCTACTGATTTCTACAGTTTCTTCTTCAATATCATCCTCATCATCATCATCATCTGGAACATCTGTTTCCAAGTCTGATATAAGGTTTCCAGATACATATCCTAGGGGTGGAACTGGAGCCTGAGGAGGTTGTGTATTGCTTTGGATGTGCCTACGCAAACAAAGAGGAAAATGTCATCAGAACAGATGAGACCTTGTACTTCATGGTCAACAGAAGATCAGCTTTTCAATAAATCCTGAAGTAGATTTACAAAAGATGGTTTTTTAGGTCAAACTCAAGAAAAGACAATTCAGTTATTCACCATAGCTTCTAACACCAGAATACCTGTGCACTTTCCAGCCTTAAATAAACTTCTAACCCCTGTAAGATGGGGAAGGTCAAGATTTTCCTCTTACAGATGAGGAATGATGTACACAGAGGCTATATAAATCAGGCAGGAAGTCCATGGAAAAGCACAATTCTGAGGCCCAACCTAGCATGTAAGTGTCTCACCCAATATTCCACCTTGCAAATCACATGTCGAGCCAAAATTAGATTTCACCCCTGCTTAAACAGACTCAGTGCTCTTAAGTAGAACTCACCCTGAAGAGGAGGAAATGACCAGTAGGACAGAAGACATTTTCGAGTCCAATGAGCCCATTATCAGTGAGGCCTTTTTATTTTGCTTTATTCCAAGTGGTTTAATTGATTTAATTGCAGCAGTATCAGGGCATGCATGTGTGAAATTACTGCATGCAGCAATCACAATTAAAAAAACAAAAAGAGAGATAAAAAACACCCACAGGACAGCTAAATGGCCAAAGGCAAGCATGGGACTTGGAGTTTCAATTGTGTGGTCTCTGAGAGGCTAGAGAGGAAAAGAGCAACCATCAGCTTCCAACGCAGCTACAGGTACACAGCAAGCTGTGCCAGGGGACCCAGGCACACTGGCCTTGGCATGAGAGCATGTACCACGCTTGGAACCGCTGACTCAGGCATGTGGCAAATCCTTGGGTGGCTCCTCGTCAGGTGCTGTGACCTGATTCGAATTGGCAGCGCTCTGGATGTGATCCAGGATTCTGCTGGTCTCTTGCTTGGACACCAACATAACAGAAAAAATTAAAACTGTCACCTGTTTGGTCACCTAGCTCTAATATATTTCTGATGAAAACTTTGTGCTGTATTATCGCCTACACTTGATAAGCACAGTAAGTCTTTTTATTCAAATAGTCGGGATGGTTTTTTTTTAATAATGTGAATCTATAAAATCTGAAATCTCACAATAAATGTTATATACCACTAGCATCTCTCTCCACCTTGGTGTAGGTTTTAAATGATTGCTTACTCTGAAGCTTATTTGCAGAATAAATGCTTCCCTTCTGATATACAACCCCCTTCTGATATACAACCCCCTTCTGATATACAACCCCCTTCTGATAGCAGTTCTTGAATACTTTTCTGCCTGGACACCAGGTTCTCAGCTATGCAGCGTTCAAAACACTGCGCTGAAGGGTGCTACCATCTAACTAACCCTCAATAAACAGTGTGATTAGCTCCCAATCAAGCACAATACTGAAGTGTACGCTTTATGTTAAGCACGCGATGGAACAATTGAAGTCAATTTCTCATGTACTTGTAGTTAAGCCTATACTTAAGTGATTTGCTGGATCAAGGCCATAATGATTATACACTTTTCCAGTAATCTCTAATGTACTTTCTTAAATTTCTAGTTGCCTGGTCTCTATATTTCTCTTCTCTTACTCCTACAGTAACTTATCTGACAGGTCCCATCCTGTTCTTTTGTTTTCCTCCCTCTACACTGGACAGGTGAACTTTGTGAAAAGAAAACTAAGGAATCTTCCTTCCCACTGAAGACAAAGGAGGACTTTCCACTGACTTTGAACAGCATTTGCTGAACAGCACAGTATCTGTCCAGCCAGACAGTATAAAAGCATTACACAAGTCCATGTCATAACTACTCTAAAAGTCATTTGTATTTGCAGCTCTCAATATTTATCCCAATACCTGCTTTAAGGTCCCAGTATGAAAATCCAGGTTCTCTCATCTATATTTTTTTCAGGCTCAATTATCATGACCTGACACAAGAGCAACGTTAAAATCTCTCTATTCCTAAGCACATTATGAAAGTTCCTGCTCAATTCTCATTTCTTCCAAAAGGGAGCAAGACCTTTCCCGTCAGCTGGAAGAGCCTTTGCTTCAGCGTCCCACCAGGTTACCCAGCCCCAGCCCGGCACAGGACGGGTAACAGCTGCCGACCGCAGCAGCGAGCGGCTGCGACTGGGCGGG